ATTCTGACATTCACCAAAATCTTCTACACACTCCCCGTCACCACACAAAAAAATTTCATCAACACCATCATTCAAACAATCGATTCGACCATCACATACTTCACGCCAATCGAGACACATTGGTTCAGCACCATGATCACATTTTATCAAAACGTAACATGTGAAATGAGTAATAGCATCGACTATATGAACTTTCGGTTGGACACTGAACGTTGTTTCCGAATAGTTCGAGTCTATTTCGAAGGAATATTGACAATAAGATCCAAACCATGGTGATGTGAAATTGAATAATAGTTCATTCACTCGATTAGATTTCATCGGTTGATCAATCGACGATGACCACATAAGAGAATCTCATGCGAAGTAACATTCAAACGGTATAATTCATCGAATGTAAAATTTGGATGAGGAACATTTATGAAATCAATTATTGTGGGATTCTGATCATTCGCTAGACGAATACAATACTTGATTTTGTTCGGAATTTGTGAGTTAGATGGTAGGTAATGCAAGCAATCAAATAGAAAAGAATCGGTATCATATAAAATCGATTGCAGTTCAAAAAATGCACATAAAAAGCATATTACTTGCAAGAAACCTATCATGATTTTGATACACATTTTTTCTATCTATTGACATTAGCACGATTGCTTCTGTAGGGTTCATTTCACGTGCGTGCCTTTCAATATTATATTTTACTGTTAAAAAAAATTGCTATATTCCACAATGCAAAGGATAAAATTATTATTATCTGCGAGTCAACGAGAAGGAATATAACACGATGCTCATTCCTATCTTGTATTCTTTCTTCAGTGTTCTGCTTCGATCAATACGCCTGTAATTGACACCATGCAATACAAATAGTTGGTCATATCTGTGACACAAAAGAGTATACCTGGTGTGTTGTTTATAGATAGATTTATGTACTGAATAATCGAGAAGTAGTGTTCAATCGTTGTTCTACAAAAACATTTTGAGTCGATAAGTCTATTCATCTGCAGAATGTATTAGATGTGTTAGTGACCGAATGCAACCGATCGAAGATAGCTATATCAAGTTTCGAATAATAACATACAACCCGAAAGAGCTCTAACTACGTATTGAAATAAATGATCACAATTTATTAAAATGATTATGCATATGTTCAAAAAGAATAGAATTTAAAAAGTAGTATTATTAGAGTTTCAATTTTAGACGAGAGCATATTAGCACAGCTTGACGTCGCCCGAGCAATAAATGCTGCTTATGTAGCCGTAAGCTCCTTTGTCTACATTCACACGAAACCATTGTACATTTTTACCAGCATCTCTTCCGCTAATGTAACAGTTGCATGGAAAACTCATGCCGTAATTGACATAATTGATTATGCCACTTGTACTAGATGGATGTTTCTTCATAGGACCTGTCTTATGGCACGTGATCGCATTGGTAGCCTAATCATATTGAAAGAAGAATATTTCAAACATTGAAAGTATTTCATGATAAGATAAATTTACCTGGCATGTATACGAAACCATGCAGAGCAACAGTAATGCTTGAAGAAGATGACAGTTCATTGTCATAGATTTTGTTCGTTTGTAATAAATGAAATAATCAAGTTACTGTGGACCGTCGTTTATATATTGAAGACACGAATTACGAACTTAACAAGAAAAGCACCTGCTTCATGAAATAAAACGATTAGTAATATTTTTTATATGTGAAGCGGATGGAAATAAAATAGCGCAGTTAATGTAGGTACTTATCAATGATATGTTAGGAATTGAATTCTTATTTGACGTTAATCATTTTCAAATGAAGATAAAAGTTTATTAGCCATCGTTTATTTTGTAATGATAAAAAAATCTTAATCATCACTCTGGCTGACGTATTAACGACTTGTTCTTCGTTTATTATTTCTCAGCGAGGGAGATCTTTCCAACTTCATTCAGCAGAAAAGTACTTCTGCGTTTTGATTATTTGTTTATCATATTTTCCGCCTTTTATTCAAGTCAAGTCTCAAATCATCTCGTTCGCTTGTTTTCCATTTCTAGAAACAGTCTGAGTGAAATTCAAAGCAACAACAAACAATCACGAAAATATCGGCTCATATCATCATAATTGAATCAGAGATGAATAATATGCACTTTTTGTTGTTGATTGTGACGCTGACCAATACGAATTCGGCTTCTATATAATGTTAATCTCATAAATTTGTACTCAACCGTGCAGATCAAAACCTTATTTAATCAAGGAAAATGCGACTCAGAGATGTTCCTTTCTTTCTCTAGCATTGCTATAAACGCAACAGGGTGTTGCGTCATTTCTTTTATCAAAATTCATGTAATGAGTAAGATTTTCGAGCTTGGGTTTTGCTTTTGAATCATAAGAGTGAATGAGAAAGTTGTTTCTTTATAATAGAACGAAGATATATCACTGGATTAGTGCATTGCTGATTCTCGTTGCAATCGCAAAAACATATTCATTGAGTATAAGTTTAATTTGAAAGTATTGTTTCTCGCTATTGAGTAAGTTTTTGATTGTATAAAGTCTGTAACAAAGATGTAAACAGTTGAACTTTTTTTAAAATTTAAATCGAGTCGACACCGAAAGAAAATTTTAAATAACTAAAAATAATTCTTCAGAATGAGCCCTGCTCCTATATCCAAACATACAGCATCAGAAGACAATTTCACAATGAAAATCCTCTTGAGGAAGCCATATCCTAGATTGAATTGAAATTCCTAAAAAATTGGTACGTTGGTTGCTACTTGAGCGTTGTTAATAGTTTTATTAGTTAGAAGTTATGCAAGACTGAATCTAGAATTGATTTATGCATATTTTATACCAGATAATGCAATAATAACGGGTGGCCCACAATAAATGAGGGTCTTATTATTTCGTTATTATCTCGCTCAATTTTCATTGTGCAGAGTTGTTCTTTTTCTAAAAGATGTGCCACTCAATTCTTGACAAAACGCATGTCGAGCATTTTTCTTGAAGAGAGCAAAGGAAACAACGTTTTAAATAGTACTGAAGACGTACTAAGAGGTCAACTTTCAACGATGAAAAACCGTGTTTGCAGGCTTTTCAATTGGCTAGCTACGACGGAAATAAAATAAAACAAGCATTTTGTAGCCCTTAAAACGCTCTATCAATGGTTGATAGCTGGAAAATTGTTGTGCTCATCCTTGCGAGATACACCGATTATTTTCGTTTTTAGATTTTCGAAAACATAGCTGTTTCAATCTGCAATTTCGAAGCTCCTGCGAAAAGAGGCATAACGAAGCAAAAGTAGCGTCTTTTGGTTTCGGAGTTTCTTTATTTTGATGGAAAATCACTACTGTATCAGATTCACACACTCAAGTTGGCATCAAACTCTCTTCTTCAATTCAGCTGGCAAAAATATCAGATTTGAGGCATTTTTAATAGAATTTTGAAAAGTCACCTTTTTAATTTCCAAGTGATTTCACCAAACTTTGAACTACATGGCCAGAAAGAGTACACTTCAAAGTACTCAAAAACATCGTCACTCTTGTTTTATTATGTAAGGTAGTGTAAAAAATGTTCTATCTTTTATCTTTACAATGGTTGTGAAAGTGAGTCGATTTGTATGTGTTTAGTATAATTTAAAACTTTTTCTGCTTATCTATCTTCAGAGAATGTTTTGATACGCGTTTGGTGAAGAATAGAATGGCGCATCTTTTAGAGAAAAATTCAACCCTGTACAATGAAAATCGAGCGAGATATTAATGAAATACTGAGACCTTCATTTATTCTGGACCACCTGTTACTTTAAATCTGTAGCTACCAGGATTACGTTTCTTCTGAATTTTTTTGGGATGTTACTTAATTATTATTTTTAATGAAAAGAATAGATGCCAACAAAAACATTATCTTTATAAAATAAAAAAGAAATAAAGATTTATTTCTATGATAGGTTAGTACAAGCGGGCCTCCATAAAGCGACATAATCACAATACTAAATGACCAGATATTGAAACTAAAACATGAGAAAGACAACTTGTGAACTTGTATGGCGAATCATGATGGGGGGAAAACGGTAAACATAATGTAATAATTTATCGTTTTATAACCACTTCGGGTCTTTATAATGTTGTTTATGATGGTTGGAACGATCTTCCTGAGATATTGACATATAAAGTAATATATATATACAACTTGCCAATGTCTTTTACCTCTACCTGTTGTCACAACTTTCGTTTTGTCAGCTACTTGTCGAAAGTTAAATATTAGATTCTCATAGAAAAAAACTTCTTTATTATTCATTTTATCTTTATTTTCGAAAGATAAAAGGTGTACTTATATTGATTCCATAAAACGAAAATAAAATAGCACTGCTAATTTTGAAATGACATTCTACTATATATTTAATTATTATAACGAAAAATTAGGTCAAACGAAACTACTAAGCTAATGATGATGACTAACATCTCGCTTACACGTGGAATATCGCACAAAGCTTTATCTATATAACAGTGGACTACAATAAAACACTTTCCCAGAAAGGGCAAAAGGAAAAAGACGAGAGCACGGTAGAAAAAGAAAGAAAAAGAGTGAAAGTGATGAATAAAAATATAAAAACTGGCACATGCGAGAATTCAGGCAGCAAATTCAATCCATTTCAACACTTGAGTCTTGTATTTTTTAAAAAGCTCTTCATTCGATCAAAAGCAAGTTTTTGATTTGATAAAGGGCTCTCCTTGTTTGTCTTTCAATTTCAAAAGTTTCCCAATCAAGAAAAATGCTCAAAATTATCCTCTTGACTTTTGCTGGCGTCGTCTCAGGAAACTGCATCACGATACATTGTTAAAAGAAAACTATAGAATATTCAACGCTTGTCTTCATTCTTTTTCTCATGAATCCTCAAAGGATACAATCAAGATTTTCCCCCTTACGTGCATATAAACAGCATATATAGTAATTCAGAATTATTGTGTTGAAAAAGAACAATAGTTTTGAATAGTCATAGCGTTTGTTTCTTCATTGTGTAATCACTAATCAAACACACATACCGTTAAGATGAAACAAGAAAAAACATTTCTAGAATCAATAATCTTAAACATAAAGCATCATTTCATAATCGTAATGTTGATTGTTCATCGTTTTTTTCTCATCTATTATAAATTCGCATGATGACACATGATTTCAAGACAAATACTAAAAGCCAATAATATAACGAATAGCTTTAGATACTAATTCATTCAGACGAATATTCTGAAGAAGATTCACGAGTATAAAAATGTTTTCTCTCAATCGATGAAATATTTTATTCTCTATGCTCCGAAAACATATTGAAATTTTCTCGGTAAAATAATATTTTATTGAATTAACAGATTCCGATGAAAAAAATAAAGAATACATTAGAGTTCTAAATGTGAGTTTCTTTTATTAATTACAGATCAATATATTCATGTCCCGGGATGCGATGTATTTTTTTTATTGATCGATCTTACGCCGATGATACTTTCATATTTACTTCAACACGTAATTGTTTAACTAAAATGTACGCGATTGACGTAAATCTCTAGTTCCGAAAAAAGCAAATAAAAGTGAAGAAAACTTGAGAAAAATAATATCTGTTTGTTATTTCACTAGTTGTCTCAATCAAGATACGTGAAAAACATTGAATCAAGTATTTGTTTTCTGTTTCATTGTACAGCGATACTATTGAAAACTTTTACCAACAAAATGGTATTTATACCGCGCATACATTTTTGGTTGGTTCTCCTGATAAATGTCAATAGGATAACCGGTAAGCTCAGAGTAATGATTTTCTTTAAGTTATAGTATGACTCTAAGTCTTGATTTATTCTAATGAGGAATACGAGACGAAGCCATTTCTATACTGCGCAAATTATCTTTGTACTCTCGAGTCTATTGATACATGAATAGTTGGAGAGTAAAGTCTTCAAAAGTTATCAATTATATGCATGCCGAGCTTTTCCTAAGTTGCCGTTTGTCATTCTATTTTAGACATATGATTAGAGACTTTTTGTTATGAAAATCTACACAGAAATTCAGTTTTATTTTAATCGATTTGTATTCGCAAGAAAAATATCCATCTATAATTATCTATTTTATTTGACGTGAATATATTTATATCGTTTTTCGTTATAGCCATATCCTTTGATCGACCACAGTTTTGTTGAATTACACCGTGGAATCCAATTGGAATTACCTTTGCAGATAGTAATACGATCGATAAAAAACCCTATGGTATGTTTGTCAATATTAACAATACGGATTACGTGCCTAACAGGCAAAACAGTATAATTAATGTGTGGCTTGAAGGAAACAGTCCCCCAATTATATACAACATAATTAATAGTGGAGCGTACAGTATTTTTGTCACTTCTGATGAGGATTTCTATTTCAGTTATGGTGAAGGAGGTGTGAACAAAGTGATATTAAATAATGCAACTACTTTGTCAACAGTATATTTCAATGGAGCGTGTTGGAATATTTTTATCGATACTAATAATTCCTTGTATTGCGCCTTATCGAGCCGGCATCAAGTTATTAAATAGAACAGATACAAGAAGAAGAATGGAATGCTTGTTAACTTGATAAAATGAAACCGAAGCAAAATAAGAGAGCATATTGATGGCGGTACAAAGATCTGCTGCCATAAAAAAATCAAGCGGATTAGAGGCATTAGAACTCATACATCAGTATGAACTATCATTTACCATTTGCACAGAAGTCGGTGAATATTCGCATCCGCGGAATATCCCTGATTTCAATCTAATTATTTCACGAAAAAGGTACTAACAAAAATGATGGAGTAATTATAAGAGTTGGTAAACATGTAAAAGCGTCTAAAAAGGAAACAAATTTATGAAATACACTAGTTATTGATAATTTTGGTCTAAACGAACCTCTTAGAGTGATAGGCGTATATTGGCTAGAGAGTCAGAAATGCGAAATAGATGAGATCACTCCTTTCATTACAAAAAAAACATGACAATAGCAGGTGATTTTAACGTGTTAGTAACTGAGTGGAACAGCCCTAAAACCGACAAAAAAAGATGCATTAGTCCAAAGATAGAGTGACGAAAGCAATTTATAATATATATAATGCACACAAAACTCACGTAAGCGTGTAGGTGTGGGTATGCACATAGAAAAAATCTCTAGTCACACTCCAGGTTGTATATTATAGATTTTTTCACATGATTTTTTCAAGATTGTCATTAGATCTCTTTGGAAAAAAACCCTACGCAGTGACGTGTCGACAGTGAACTTGCCACGTATCACGAATTGCGTAATAGAAGTAGGAGCGACCAATGTGGGCACGAGTAGAAACAGAAAAACAAGATGAAAGAAACCAATATAAATGCTAATCCAGTTTCCTTTAGAAAAGCGAACACATATATATTATATATGAATATAGATATGATGACTCATTCCAAAGGAATTCAAAGAACAGAAAACAAAACAAACACATATAATATAATATATATGTTACTATATCGCAGAACTCTTAATTGCCAGATGTGTATTCAAACCAACAATGAAAGGCCTACAAAACTGCACGAGGTTCATATGCTTAGAATTAAATCATTCAGCAGTTACGGATATTCTAGTGGAAACTCTAAACGATTTTTCCACACCTAGATAATTGATTAAAGAAACTTCAAACAGCATTCTAGGAAAACGAATAATGTGTGATTCAATGCATCATGATCTACTCTGGTTTCTATCAAAATCCATTCAAAATTTATTCACTAAATAGACTTTTCTATAGTCGTCCCAAATGATAGAAAAAAACCAATTCTGATCAAAATTTGACTATAATGATTATTAGTTCAAGTATGGTCCAATAGCATAGACAAATAAATCATTATTTTCTCTATGAGACTACGTAGAGAGACTTAACATTTTTTTTATAAGAAATAATTAGTTTTATTACAATCATTTTAATGAACTATTGTAATTCTCTTTGAGTACAATAACCAAATGAAAAGGATTTGATGACGTTGCAATTACAGCCAATAGCATAAAAATATTATAGTTGTGAATATCGAATCGAACTGAATGATTATAGTGATCTTTGTGTTTTTCATGTCTAATTATTGATGAAAGTGAAGTTTCATAAAAGTTCGAAAGCAACATATATATTATATCTGCATTTAATTAGAATATTTAAAAAAAACGATATCAAAATTCAACTATTATTTTAATTAAAAATAAAATAATGCTTATTAAAAATGAGTCATTTTTTTGTAGGAATGGGACGATGAGAAATCAGACGTATCGAAAACATCATTCGAATTAGAACAAAAAAAATCATATTCCATTTGGATATTGTGATCATCGTTCAGCTCGTATATATAGATTTTCTTTCTTCTCAAAATGATTCTATTTTTATAATGAGGTTAAATCATATTATAAATAAAATCTAAACAAGATATATTTTCCTAGATCGTACTGCTGCTACATTTACAGATCGGGATGAAACAGGTGCAAAAATATTTCCTCATCTTATTTCAATGCCTCTTTCACTGAAATCTCTTATTGTTGAAAACTTTCAATGTTTGGTATATGTTATTGAACATGCAAATATTTTTATTTATTTTTTATGTTAAGATTATTGTGGTTGAAGATACGTTTACGTTAAATTCTACGATAAGATTTTTTTTAAATATTTGAATGGAAATAATCTAGGAATAAGGTTTGGTTGATTATTTTTTGAGTAATAGAAAAATATTAATAAGATAATTAAAATTTAATTTGACTTAGGAATGAATTAATTTAGCTTTTGATAATATACAAGGGCAAAACGGGACAACCCCCGCCCATTTTCATTTGACTTTGAGTTTTTACCAGACTGATTTTTTCTGCGTAGACATGTAAAAATGTTTGCTCTCTTGTATGCGACCTAATTAAAATTTATTAATTAAGGAGTAATCGGTGAATGTATCTCTAACCATATGAGGAAAAACTGTAAAAGTTTTAGGATAGACTCTTCGGTCTGAGCCATATCAATAATAAAATGTTCAACAAGATCGAACTCCTTAAAATTCTCCTTATTAAATCCGTCTTTCTAGAAATTCCATGAAGGTAAAAAAAACGAAATTTTTATCTTATCATCATCTCAAGATTCTGAGGATGAGTTTATTTTCAATTTTCCTTGAAAATCAAGTTTATTTAATAAAAAAGAAATTTTATTTTAATTCGGAATAGCATTTAGTAGAATTTTATTAGCTCTTTAGTTTTGTTATAACTGAATATAAAGTTAATATATCTGATAAAACCTTATTAAATGCAAATGTCTCGAGCAACGATACACTTTTTCTATACATGTTTAATCATTAGAGAAACGTTCTCTCTTATTTATTTTTCTGTTTGGAATACGGATTTCTATTTTGTCGAATTCTTCTATTGCCAAGTTAATACTCGAGCATTGTGACCATGAGAGAGTATGAAGAGATCATTTATTGCTTGGCGGTCCTGAATTTTATTTGATAAAGAAAGATGACTCTATTCCTTAGTATATACCTATTCATATTTTAAGTAAAATATAATGTTTAGAAAATCTTTATTTTCTCCTTGAATTGTTTTAGCGCATTAGAAAAATAAGTAAAATCTTTCTTAGTCAAAGAACTAGATCAAATCGTTTGTATTTTATTTAAAGAAAGTATTTATTAAATATGATTGTTCGATTTTTTTGAACGATTTATAATAAAATTGAACAAAATATTTTCTGTAATAATTATTCTTTTTGTCCTTGTTTCAACAATTAAAACAGCTCGTCTATCTTGATATTCATGGCAACACTTCATCTGAAAAAAATCGAATCTTATCGTTTTCCAAATAGTCAAACTGATATTCATACATCAAGATTTCATCTTTGGTTGTAATTATTGAAGTTAATAGGACATCCCTATACGTCGAAGAAAATTATGTTGTTTCTCTCTTTTACTTAGCTGTTAATTCGTCAAGATTTATTTTTATTACTCATTGATTTTCGTAAATAAAATAGAATTTAAATTCATTTGTAATAGGACCTTTTCTTAACCAAATTTCTGTATAATTATTTACAGAAAATCTCAATATCCAAGGGCAACAGCTGTAATGGCAATCCTCAGTTTCTCGATATCCCCCTCATCATCGAACTCGTACCAGACACACTGAAGAATATAAGACTCTGAATCACACGGTAGATCTTGTCTACCCAATTAAGATCTGTTCTTTTCAAGAAAGGATTTAACATTTCCGAGCTAATCTCAAATTGTTGTTTTCAAATTAATGAATCTATCGAAGCATATAGTGATTCATTCACGAATTTCTAGTAGCGTATAAGTCTTTGTAAAGAAATCCATGAGATTCTTTCATGATAAAACTGATTTGAGTGATCAGTTTTGAAAAATAAGAGCAGCAAAATCTTTTCTTTATTCATGTCATAAACTTGATTTTGATTTATATAGAACGATAAATATTCATTTGTTATCAGCTTATTCTAGCTTTTCTAGATTGAATAGGTTTTAAAATCAAGATAATCATATGTCAATTCTTCTCATGAATGAGTGTTAAAAATCAGCAGCGAGAAAAATAAGTTATTCTAATTTGAAAACTTCAATGTCAGATGTGGTAAAATTTGTAGCTCCAGTGAATGTATTATTACCCTTTCCAGTTGTATCGAGGTATGTATTAGGAAATTTAGTGTAACTTGAATTGTTCGCATTGCTAGCATTTGCCAATTTGAGATCACGACCTCCCCCAAATTTTGCAAGATCGCTAGCATTATGAGCGACTGCGTTTCCTGATTGACTAGTACTGATGAGGTATTTCGTCGGTGGAATATTGTGAGGATTAGTCAAAGTGAACAAAAATGCTGTAGTGTCCTTCTTATCTGAACCATCCGAAGTCCATGGAATAGCTGTATAACCTCCAAAAAGAAAATTGTTATTTGATTGAATAATCGTTATTGTGGGTCCTTTATTATTACAACGTGCATGAAATGTATTTGCATCAAATCCATCACGCGTTGCTTTATAAATCAGTTCCCATTGTTGATTAGTTTTACCGTAAAAGTGATTCAATTGCTTTTTATGTTCGAATTTAAGCAGTGTTCCATTTGGGAAAAGTGCATTCCCTAATATATCTAGCAGACTCTTCAACCGAAAATATTCAGCTTCAATTATAAGACTAGTTAGAAGTGTTTCATCGTTCATAACATTAATTGGCACTGTACTTGTTCTTAGATATGCCAAAATATAATAAAATAATTTTCCATCACGATCGATGAATATACTTTTATCCTCAGGGTCTCTTTCAAGTTGCCATTGTTTAGAAAAGAGAGCAGTGAAAAAAGTGTCTTTTTCACGTGTTAGTACCTCAACGCTTGTTGTATATTTCTCACCTCCGATATCAAGAATGACTTTACCTTGAATTGATGTTGTTGCTAATTTAATTTTGATGTCTTTCCATTCTTTTTCTTCATTTGATGCATTAACTAATTTGCTTTCTAAGATTTTTGTTGTTTCTGTTGCTTCGTGGCATAATTGTTTAGCTGATTTAATACAATCACTGCATTCCTTTAATTTTGAAATAACGTCTTCACGTAATTTCTCAAACTGAGTTTCAAGCTGATTTACGTTGTCTCTAAGAGTATTTAAATTGGAATCTTTTTTCTCTAATTGCTTGGCCATTGTTGCTGTTTGAATGTTAGTTTTCTGTTCCTCTTAACTTGATGACTGAAAATTTGCTTGTCTCTTTTAATATTATCCTATCAGTCATCACGAACAATATTTAAACGAGAAGATATACTGGCGTAAAACTATGAAAAAGAATGCTTTCGATGATGCATAGATTGTCAATATTTACCTGTGCAACCTCTTTTCAATTATGTTATCAAGAATCTACATAGTCTTTCAGTTCTGTTTGATGTTTTTGTATGTAACATGCAGCATCGATACTTTTTCGTCACTGTCTGAAATTTTACACTAATTTTCAATAAAAATTCTTTGGATATAGTGACAGATACAAACGACATTCCAGTAAGACCCGTATTAACAATCATCATAAGAAAGAGGGAAGAAACAGAATAAATACAACTCTGAAGGAGAAAAATCACTAAAAAAAACAGGAACATTCATCATTATTATCAACATGCACAATATCATCAACATTATTTTTATTATATTTTACTTTTACAATGATGCATTATATTAATATATTGTGCATACATATATATCGGACACAATATACGACTTCGAACCAGTTCATCTTTCACTACGTTCCAGTTTGTTTTCGAACTGGGTAAAATTTTTGAATTATTTAATTTTATTGATAAAGTTTTTTTTATTCTATAGGTTTTTTGACGCGTATCACGAAAAGCACCAGGAGACATACACAAGAATTAGTAGGTAATCTTCATCTGATACAGGAAGTATATTTTTGTCATTCGAATAATTTTGATTTTATGAATTCGAATTTTGCCAACTACCTATTTAATCGATTCGCTTGCCACCGTAAAAGGGATGATTGAAAGCACTGCCAATTGGGTCACTTACGAAAAGAGGATGATTCACTAGTTCGTCTTCTTTTCCCATTCACACAAATCAAATATTACCAAATTATTCATGTTGGCAGAATTCGTTTATGCACACGTACCTATGCTGAAGGGAAAGTTGCTGATGACTCAAATATAATTTTTATCTTTGATAATGTGCAGCATCCTGGTAAAATTCGATCGATTTTTACCATTGATGATGGTGAACCTCATCTCCTTGTCGCATACATCGCAAACCTTACTCCACTCACTTGTGAAATCGATGGCACGGAGAATTTTGCTTATCGCAAATATTCTTTTCGCAACAACTACTAAGTGGAGCTACGTTCCGATAGAAGTCAAAGCTTTTGTTGAAAAAAGTATATTTTTTTCGAAGTTCGGCAGGTATAACCTACTTCTTCAGACAATCGACACTTGATCATTGTTCGCGAGGCATTGCGGAAAATGGTTGCATGTATTTCTCATCGTTTGATTTTGTTTGTTAAAGAAAGAAAATAAACTGTAACATCAATGGAACCGAAACGTTCAAACAACTAATCAATATTTTTCTTGTATTTGCTTCGGCAGTAACTTCGATTGATCTTTAGAGCAACCAACTTAAACGTTTAGAAATCAATTGAAAAATATTTTCTATAATGATAAAAGTGAACCAGAAAGTCATCCAAAAGATGAATTATTCGAATCAATGACAACAAATTCATTTATATATTGACTAGAACTAATTATTTCTAATGTCATATGTAGTAGACATCATTATAAAGGGATACTGATAATCAATGACAGTAGCTAAATATCATTGTCAATTGTTGCAAGGTGTTTACAATTTTTTTTGTAAAAAAATACACAACTTTAGTTGGTTAAATTTGCTTCCCACAAATATGATGAGTGAATTTACCGTTTAAAACTCTATAATATTGCTGTCTCTACATCTGTGAAGGTTAGTTTGGTAATGTTCACTAAAATTCTTCAATTGAGTCAAAAATCTAAATGATTCCGTTAAACCATGATCAATGTTACTAGATTGTAAATGATTTTTCGATTTAAGATTTTAATCGATTCATGTGGATTGAAAGCATCGTCAATCGATTATATTCGAGAAGAAAGTCATCAGTCACCGATGAAAATTGATTATTCGTAAAATTTGATTCAAATTGATTACTAGAAAAGAATCTTTGAGCGATTATTTTGGTTTTTAATCGGTTTTAATAGATGAAAGTAAGAAAATCGATGATAATGCAAGAAAAAACGTTGATTTCGAATCCAATGCGCGAAAAGTCGATTAGAATCTTAAAATTAATCAAAAAAAAGCCATAATTGCTAGATTTTCATCGATTATTGAAGCTACGAATCGATGAAAATCATGCATATGTTGATTTTTACGCTTATTTTGTTTACATGGGTTGCTAAAGACAGACATAGATCTTCCCCTATCGAGATACTCGGAAAAAAAACTTTCCAAAATAAGAACGATGGATAGGCGCACCAGCTTAAGAATAAATCATTTCATCATTGTTCGACTCTTGTCAGCATTTGCATAGAAAAACATCTGTCCACCACCAACGTAGTCTTACAGATTTTACTAGGACTAAAATACACCAGCATCTGCCGCCAACATCATTATTAAAGGCGTGTGCATCTGTCATAGATGAATAGTGTGGTGCGTTAATGTGCCACGTTTTCTAATCATCTTCTATAAATAATATTTTTACATTTAAAGTGCATAACGAGGTTACAATGAGTGACCTAGTAACTAAAGCAAAGTTCTTGTGATCGAAATAAAAAAATAAAAACGGTCCAAGCACTACAATCAATTTCAAAACATAAATAAATTATTTTTCAATTTATTGATTTTTTATTTTACTCTAAAATTCTAATGAGTACTGTTGACCGTTCGTTTCATTATTCAAGAAGAATTACTTGAATAATATTGATAAACAGAAATAGAAATGATAATTTCGACGTTTCGTTTTGAATTAGTATTTTTGAGACGCATGCATTAGATAGTCATTAGAAGGATTTTCTTTTAATGGAGCACCTAAGAGTTAGTGCTGGATCACACTAACGCTAAACGATGATTAACCTGCGTCTTCTAGTCTAATTGGCCTAGGACAACCTCCCACACAGCAGCAGGTATCGATTCCATTACCATGAAACTCAACTTTTCCATCGGTCACTCATATAACAAGAGTGACGCTGCTTGCCGCTTTTGTTTTATACACATTAGACCCTAACACAGTATGAAATAAAAAAATCAATCAGAGAGTTGAATTTTTTGACAAATATATTGCACTAATGACAATAGTGCTGTGCCTACGTGACGAAATAATGTCCCATTTCGTGTACGTACGTCATCGCTATTTCAATTCTTGTTGACTCCATTTATCGAACAAAAAAGTACATTATTTTTCTTCTTTTCTTCTTAACCTACTTCTTTGCCATCTATAAATAAAGGAGCGGAAATGAAATGTCTACTACACAATCATTTACATCGCAAACATGCAACAGTTGTTCGTCCTAATAGCATTAGTAAGTTGATTCCTGTCTCCATCAACAAGCATAGATGTATATCCTTCTTCTTCTTATTAGATATCCTTTAGCCTTGCAACGGCTCTGACACATCATGGTCACCGCCATCCTCACGGTGGTGCTCATCATCATCGATCGCGTCGTTCCGATCCGCTTCCATCGACTGGTGGGGATCACATTCCATCTGGTACTGGGGATCATGGTAAACACGAAGCTGCGCATCATTTAAAATCCGCTCATGGCAACCATTCTGAATCGCATGGTAAGCATCTTTTTAAATCCGGTCATGCCAACCATACTGAATCGCATGGTGCACATCGTTTTCCACCCGGTCACCAGGATCATGCTAAATTGGCTGGCCAGCATCGTTTTCCAGCCGGTCACGGCAATCATTCTGGAGCCGCTGTTGGAGATCATCATCGAGTGCCTGGCTCTGCTCCACTTACACCTGCTCCTGTGAATCATGGTAAGCATGATGCGCAGCATCATGCTTAATCGGCTGGTGACGATCGTTGTCCATCTGGTCATCGCGCTGATTCTATCAGTGAACGCCACTAAAACATTCGATATTTTCTGCTTTTGATTTCAACAATAAATCTTATTGAAATGTTAAAGAAAAATTTTCTTCATGCTATCTATATTTCACTTTGCGAAAAATATTGAAATAAAATCCAACTATCATGAAACATTGAGAAACCTCTTGTTTGATTTTACATTATCACTGTGCTCTGCTGGAGTAGTGTTGCTGAATAGCTCGTGCTCTCTTCGTCAGGGTTTTGGAACATGTATTATTAGAGAGAAATGTGTAGCTTCAATTTCGATTGTTTTATTTATTCAGATGCACTTTTCTACAAAAGCTTCTGTCGGTATCATTGTTGATTAATGTTATATTGATGATCGAAAATCGTAGACTACCGAATAGCTTCTTCTTCCGCCAGTATAACGATAAATCGGCTAAGCATATTCTTTCATTTTCTCTTCTCTAGTGCGTTGTCTACTAGTATGACTCATTTTACCCTTCAGTACGCCTAATATTTAAAATATTTATGGTGTTTAATAACTATTTGAAAACGTAACTCTCTAAGTGGACCTTCTGAAAGAAGAGCATAATAATCTATCATATCGGAAGCGAGAAGAGATAAGATAAAAGATTTAGTATGTAGTTATTTCATTCGTTCAATTATTGCTATTGAGCACAACCTGATGTATAAATTAATCGTGTATATGAGACCATCATGCTTTATATCCTCTTTGTCTTTCACCACCAACTGGTATTTGTCCGACGGTAATACCATCTTCCGTTGTTTCAATTATTTTTCTAAATATTATCTCTAGTTGTTTTTAGTTTGTTTTCTTTTGGAAACGCATTGTGACAGAATGCATATGGTAGTAAATTATCGTGAAGAACAAACGAAAGGCATCAATAATATTCGCATGTGGAATGTTCTTTTGAGGATTTTGTTTTCATTTTGAATAAACAACATGGATTATTTGAATAGCGTCTAGTGTAGCTGTAAGTACAAGAAGAATTTTTCCATTCTATCTTTTTTCAGTGTTCTCATTGTTCTACCCTGAAATAAAAAAGACACAAGATAATGCTGGGTGTATTGATCAATACTAGTTCTTTACAGTGCGTATTTGAGCAAAGAAATAAAATGAGACGTACTCGTTGTTTTTTTTTGCAATTGAGAGAATTCGTCGCAAAACACTCGATTGATCATTTTATTTACAATTGCGAGTAGTCGTTCTGCGAAAAATACAGTGCTCAGCACTATCTTCAACCATTTAACAGAACGAAACATTTTGTGTGCGTCTACCAACATGTCGGTTTGAATGGACTGTTTCTTCCTTTTCCGTTAATACCCATGTCGCCGGTCGTTGCATTATCATGTAACTATAGTCATTATTTGCTATTATAATGCATTATAATGGCAAATAATGGCTACAATTCCATCATAATGCAACTACCGGCTACATGGGTAGTCTCTTACCATTGATGTAAGCATGTGTTTGATGACTTTACAAACATAAATACAGTTTATTCTTTCGTTTTAATAATTCACATTTGTCTACGCCAACGATAGTATTAGATCATTTCATATTGACTATTTTTGCGTTTTTCATTTACTAGATAGTCAAGGATGATGCACATTCAGACATGGATCCACACATGATTTTGTGGCTCAATGCAAGTTCGTACAATGATGAAAATAAAAAATACAAGAAAGCCTTAACGCTAAATTCGGTAAAGTTTGGATATTCACGGATCCCGATGAATGTGGTAGACATATGCAGCGACCATCGACGAGCGAACTCGTTCCGATTGTCAGTGGTGGATTAGGTGCAAACTAGTGCCATCCCCTATCATGTAAGTAATTTACATAAAAACGTACGGTCATACCGTATACTCTGAAAAAAATAAAGGAGGTTTACAGAACCCTCCGAAAAGGTTATGTAGATTTTCAAAATGCTCCAAATGTGTTCAAAGTCTCAAAGAAAAGGATAAAAATTTTGACAGAACCTTTTGAAGGTTCTGCGTTTTACCCAAGTGCAGAACCATCTCTTACAGAACCTTTTTTTCGGTTCTGTACAGCAAAAAAAAGGTTCCGTGAGAAAATACGAAACCTTGAAGGTTCTGCACAAAACGATTGGGTTCAGTACGGAACCATTAAGGTTACGCACCAACGGTTAATGGTTTTGTACANTGTACAGAACCGAAAAAAAGGTTCTGTAAGAGATGGTTCTGCACTTGGGTAAAACGCAGAACCTTCAAAAGGTTCTGTCAAAATTTTTATCCTTTTTTTTGAGACTTTGAACACATTTGGAGCATTTTGAAAATCTACATAACCTTTTCGGAGGGTTCTGTAAACCTCCTTTATTTTTTTCAGAGTAGAGACCATCAGAGACTGTGACAAAGAATTCACAAACCGTCACAGACCTTGACAGAGAATTTAATTAATTAATTAGTAAATTAACCAATTAGCTAATTAATTCATTCTCTGCCACTGTCTGTGGGGGCGGGGGATGGATCCAAATTTCTACGCTATATACTTCAACACTCTTTTCAGAACGTGTTTCACGAAAATAGGTGTCATATGGCACCATTTATGGTTCTAGACAAGATACTGAACCTTTTAAGGTTTCACTCGCTCATTAATAAAGCATCGAGGGTTCTAGCTAATCCAAAGAAACATCTCAGATCCTCAATAGTTCTGGATGTTTGAAAAGGTTCCGTCCTGCACCATTTTTTTTAATGCTGAACCATTTTGCCAAAGATAGTTCTGGTTTGAAGCAAGATACTATATTTTCCGAACGTGATTTAAGTAATATAAATCTCAAATAGGTTATTGAGATCGAGGAATCCGAATCCATCATCAGTTTTTCGATCCGAGCTCCCAATGGTCAGAAATTGGGTGCATCAAAAAGTCGAGGGCTGTAAAATTAGACTTTGTATTTCAACTCCGATCTAAATTCTGATCGAAGTTTGAAATAGGTTATTGAGGTCGAATACTTCGAACCCATGATCATTTTTTCGATGTCAGGGATGAGATAGTTAAATGATGAACCTGTCTAGTTGTGTCCCCAAAATGAATTCAATAATTAGCAGTATCTTTTCAAGCGTGATTGTTCTTTTATCTTTTTCGACATGTCACCTGTATGAATAGGCAGGTAATGTCAATCTGATAAAATAAATTCAAGATTTTCTGTAGATAGATATGTATGAATAATCAATTCAAATGCAAGTTTAATATGATAAAATGAATTAGTGCTTTTTTAATATTTTAGGTATATGTAAATAATTTATTGAATAGTAAGTTGAATCTTACAATATAAGTCACTGTGCTTTTTTTGCTGTTTAGGATCGTCTCAACAACAACTAACGGCGACGTGGCTTTCGTGCGAATAACGGAGAAAGTGCTAACTCGTATTCTACTCACAACAAATCAAGGTAAATATAACACATAGAATGAAGGGTTAAGGATAGAATTAAGAGGTAAGGTTAGGAATAAGAGATTAAATATGAAATTAACGGCTGGATAAAACCGTGGCACGATATTTCCGCGCGTGACATTATCGCGCCGAAATTACCGCGTACGACACCACCGCGCATTGACATTATCGCGCACGACACTACAGCGGACGACATATGCGCGGAATTTTTTTTTGTTCTGTTCATATATCACGTATATAGCCCCTTACACACTTCACAACTATTTCTTGATGAAAAAGTGTATTTTAAAAATGCAGTTAAACATAGGTAAAAAGAAGTATAGTTGAATAATATTTATTGACAAATAAATTAATGAGAACAAAAAACAAAATCTAAAGATAACAAATAGTGAATAACATATTCAAAAGTTAAACATAGATCTGGCCATTTTGAAATACTCATCACGTCAAAACATTATGAAATTATTTTACCATATTTTTTATTCGCTCATCGATTTTCCCATACTTTTTTCGTTTATTTGGAGTCTGTGTGCCAGTAAGAACTTGATTCCAAGTTACAGTTGAATTGTGTTCTTCTCTTTTCATATCGTTAATAAATTTATAGAAGCTTGGATGATCACCAACAACCTTCTACATGAGAAACAAACAATAGTAAAGTAGATAAAATGTTAATTATGAGGGCTGCGTCGATACGAATACAATTTGTATCGCCCATCGACATCGTATCTATGTTACACTGTTTCCATATATATACCCCTGAAAAACCTAGAATTCATCAATGATGTAACGGCTTGTATCGGATTCTATTGAGACTGTTTCATTGTATCGATATATTGTAACACAGGCTCGACACAAGCCAATGCGTGCCGTTACATGCCGTTACATGACTCATGAATTCAAGGTTTTTCAGGGGTATATATATGGATACATTGTAACAGAGGCTCGAATCATGTAATGGCATGTAACGGGGCTCAGTTACAATGTATCCATATATATACCCCTGAAAAACCTAGAATTCATGAATCATGTAACGGCAGGTAACGGCATGTAAGGTCTTGTATCGAGCATCTGTTACAATGTATCCATATATGTACCCCTGAAAAACCTAGAATTCATGAATCATGTGACGGCTTCTATCGGCTTCCATTGAGACTCTGTTTCATTGTATCGATATATTGTAACAGAGGCTCGACACAAGCCGATACATGCCGTTGCATGCCGTTACATGGTTCATGAATTCTAGGTTTACCTGGGGTATATATATGGGTGCATTGTAACAGAGCCCCGTTACATGCCGTTACATGCCGTTACATGCCGTTACATGCCGTTGCATCCCGTTACATGCCGTTACACGATTCATGAATTCTAGGTTTTTCATGGGTATATATATGGATTGAGTGTAACAGAGCCCCGATACAAGCCGACATATGCCGTTACATGCCGTTACATGATTCATGAATTGGAGGTTTTTCATAGGTGTATATCTGGATACAATGTAACATAGATACGATGTAGATGAGCGATACAACTTGTATTTGTATCGGCGCAGCTATGGATGAATTCTCTTTTATGCGAACGAATTCTTCAATAACATTTTGTGGTGGAATAAATGGAATAGCAGCTAAATTTTTCATTGTTCGACGACTAGCATCATTTTCAAGGAATTCTTTTTTCAAATGTAGTTCCTGCAAAGAAATCAAAACATTTATGAACTGTAAGGAAAACTTATATAACTCATTATGAACCAAATAAACTCACACAAATATGCCTCCAGATACATTGTTCGAAATGAAAAAAACACCCAAATATTTCACATTCGGGACATATAACACGAAATGAATTTTCAGCTGCTTTTTCAAAATCGATTGAAAGGTATTTTGGTTCACGTGTAACATGTTGTTTGACAATTTTGAATAATTCTTCATAAGCTTTTTCATCTTTGTTAGGTAAAAGTGAGTAAACTAATGGTAAGCTTTTTCCACGTATTGAACCATGTATAGAGTACATTTGTTCAAACATTTTAGGAGCAACCTAGAAATGAAAGATTTCGTTTGAAATTTTGGATATATTTCAATTACTTAAAGCAAATGTACCATCACAATGCCAACTTTCACATTGATTTAAAAAATCCAATTGTTCTTTGCTTGCAAATATCAATAATCGACGATTAACATCATTATTATCATATAAAAGAAACTTTTGATTTGTATAAGTATTTTGAAAATTTAATGGAATAACAATATCGGCGAATGTTTTAGGTTCTGATGGAATATTATCATCTCTTCTAATACGTTGAATAACACGTTGTGATGCATTATATTGAGGACTAGTAATAGCAGCATCTGAAGATAATTTAAGTCAAGCTTCGTATATTATTAATCTTGGTGTATCATGACATTCGGCAGCTTTCTTCCTAATTTCATAATTATATAAAGCTTTTTCAATTTCGTCCGGATCTGGCGCTTGACATATATGATCTTGGTGCATTTTAAACGAATTTCCATCAGAACGAGCACGACCTTTACATTTGTCCTTTACACAGCGCCACACTGCCTTATCTCGGCGATAACGGAAACCATCGAGAAGAAGTTGATCACTTCCTTTACTTGAATTGATGAGAGACATTTTTTACTTATGACATATACTTATCTTGTATATATATATATATATATATGTATTAAATTTAGTCAATTTCATTTTATTTATTCTCATCAATCGGTCAATTATACTGATCCTCTCATTATTATCTGATCCAATTATTCCTTCTGACATTAGCTTTCATCCAGATTAATGGGCCAAAAAAAAAGAACAACCTTCTCTGATTAATAGCCATAAGCTTATTGATCAAATAAAGAAGAGACAAAAAAAATTCCGCGTATATATCGTCCGCTGTAGTGTCGTGCGCGATAATGTCAATGCGCGGTGGTGTCGTGCGCGGTAGTGTCGTGCGCGATAATGTCACGCGCGGAAATGTCGGTGAACCCAATTTATCTGTATTGACATTAATTGTTGTGCTTCGGCGGTTTTTATTTTTTTATTTCGATCACAAGAACTTTGCTTTAGTTACTAGGTCACTCATTGTAACCTCGTTATGCACTTTAAATGTAAAAATATTATTTATAGAAGATGATTAGAAAACGTGG